CCAAAGTTGTTCGTATCTTTCTGTGTGTGCTTTCCCGTCTTGTCTTATCATCAGCCTTACTCACTTCTAGATGTACACTGTGAAATGTCAAGGACCAGGTTTAGGCATCGTTTTGACAACCCCCGCTCCCAGCATCAACACCTCCCCAGAGCAGATGCTGGTAAATACTTATTGCAAGGGCACACAGCGTGGTGTGAAGGACAATGGAGACTTGCGAGGTGGAAGGGGAGAGAGACGACAAATTACCTCTGGGGTACAATGTACGCTATTTGGGTGACGGGTACGCCAAAAGCCCAGACTTTACCACTCTACCATATGCACATGTAACAGAATTCAATTTGTACCCCCTAAATCTATTAAAATAAAATAAAAGGAAATTGAGGAAAAGAAAAAAAATATTTATTGAATTAGACACATAGAGCCACACGGAGGACCTGACACTGGCTGACATTCCCGGCTTCTATATCCAGTCACTCACCCCTTCAACCCCATGTGAGCGTGTACCATCCTCCAAGCTGGCTCGCTCTCAAACTCTCTAACCCACCAGCTGAAAGTAAGTTCAGTATCAACCAAGGACTTCTTTTCAGCTCTAAGACATAGAAAATCCCCCAGGATGACACGGGCGAAAAGCTGCACAGTGGGTACAGCCTTGCCTGTATCTGTCCAAATGCAATGTCACACCCTCAAGAAGGGCCCTGGGGCAGACACATTGCTTGGGATATGGGTGAGATCCCCCAAGGGCTCTGCTCTGTCCACTCATGGGAACCAGGGATATACCTATCACAGAAGATGACTGTTTAAACAATGCATTCCTCTATAGGCACAGTCCCCTGGGGATGATAAGTTAAGGAGCTGGTCATTTGGAGTGGGGCAGGGGAACTCTAGTAAGTCGTCTTCCCAGAGTAGAGGATGTGGCCATGGAGGTGGGAGGATTAGCCGAAGGTCATGAGAAAAGTCTGCCCTGCTCTGAGATCAATAAGTATAAATTGCTTGAAAGTCCAGGGACTGCTCTGCCAAGGATGGGGGCGGGGCGGGGAGGGAGGGGGCAGATTAGGGACAGCCATTTATCTCACAGATCTCTTCTAACTCTGCAGTTGTAGGATTCTATCCTGAACCTCCCCTGCCAACAACTTCAAAAAGTTGTCTGGAGATCAGGGACATTTGAACAGAGAGTGGAATAACATGTCAGATAATAAACCAAGAAGAAATTCTGAAGTCAAAACAAGGGATAAATTTTCCTTATCTCTGTAAGACATGCATCAAAGCAGCTAGCTGCTGTCTGCCTAGCCTGGGAAGATGATAATGGGTTTTAATGGTCTGTAAACAATAGGACCAGCCTTTGTAATAAAGTTTAACCAATTAATTCTTTAGGCTTCCTCCCTGCACTCTGCCTGCTCCATGCTCCCCCTTTCTGTGATGGGGCAGCCGTCAGGGGTCTGAGAGGCAGAGGGATCCAGCCTCCACACTCAGTGCCTCTTGAGTCCCCAAGTGGTATCCAGAGGACAATCAAACCTGTGGGCAGCACTAAGGGTTGCCTGGAAGGAGTATCAAAGAAAATTGCCTCTATGATGATCTGGGTAAAGGGAGTAAAAATCCCTCCTTTAAGGAAAAAAGAGAGACACCAAAATATTGGCACAATTGGTAAACTTCATTCTTCTTGAGTGAGCTCCTTCGTCCATTTTGCAAACATTCTTGTACACCTACTGTGTGCAAGGCCCTATTGAGGTACAGAAGTATTCGAGAAAAACACCTGGCCTCAATGGAATTACAGTCTGGAGGTGGCGCTGGGAATAAGATGCATTCACAGATTTCAATCATGAAAGTACAGTGGTGCTTGCAAAGTGCTACACCAAGTCCAGTTTTCTTTTTCCATTTCTTCTTTCTTTCATGTACCATGTTGAATTTGGGGTGACTAAGACAGACAATATTTAGAAAATGGAGGAATCAGAAAGCAAAGAAAGAAAATGAGACACACAAGAGAACAGAAATCAAGGCCCTCCCTTGAGCTGAGGCTTTCTACCGTCAGCCTTCATTCTGGAAAAGAAAAAGACGTGTTGGCACTAGAGGTTTATGGGCAGCTCCATGCCACTGAGTCACAATTCAAGCCACATTTGCTCTCTGCACCAAGAAAGGGTATATTTGCTGAATTGTGCAAAATTTTGGCCACCTGGATTTTTCTATTTGACACACCAACTCCTGAGTACCCAATAAGCATTCCCTTTACTTTTTTTTGAGATAGACTCTCACTCTGTTGCACTGCGGAGAGTGCCATGGAGTCATAGTTCACAGTAACCTCAAAGTCTTGGGCTCAAAAGATGCTCTTGCCTCAGCTTCCCGAGGCGCTGGGACTACAGGCTCCCGCCACAACGCCCAGCTATTTTTAGAGCCAGGGGCCTGGTGCTTGCTCAGGCTGGTCTCAAACTCCTGAGTTCAAGCAATCTATAAGCGTCAGCCTCCCAGACTGTTAGGAGATCAGGTGTGAGCCACCAAACCCTGCCTTCCCTGTACTCGTAGACATACAGTAGGTAATGCTGATGTTAATGGAGGAAACTCTAAAGTTTTTCATCCATAGTTCAAAGGTTAGTATTTTCCACTTCCAAAAACAATGATGAATACCTTGTTTTACATTGGTGGAAACTTACATTTTTTCAAAATTCCGCAGAAAGGATTATCTCATGCTCCTGCCACAAGAGATCTTGGGTGGTAGGTAACAAAAGGCGAGCATTATCTCACCCTCTGCTATGTGCAGACCAGAGGGTGCGGGGCAGAGGCTGAGAAAGAGACGAGAGTTTGGACTTTATCCTGAGGGCAATGAGGAAGTCACTGAAGGCTCTGAGCAGAGGTGGATGGCATGATCAGATTTATGTTTTAGCAAGATTATTCCAGCTTCTGGGTGGAGAATACACCCAACTAGGAAGACACTGGACAGACTTTGGAAACCTTTTTTTTTTTTTTAATTTCAGGTTAATACAAGGTCACCCATGGTTAGGTTACACTGTTTGTGTTTGTTAAGTAAAGTCCCTATTGTAGTTGTGCCCCTCACCCAGGAGGTGTGTCCCTTTACATCATGCCTGTTAGGTGAGAGCACACAAATGCCCTTTTCTCTAGATACATTTTTTTTTTTTGAGACAGAGTCTCACTATGTCACCCTCAGTAGAGTACTGTAGTGTCACAGCTCACAGCAACCTCAAACTCTTGGGCTTGAGTGATTCTCTTGCCTCAGCCTCCCGAGTAGCTGGGACTATATGTGCAACCTGCTAGCCCTGGTGTATGTGGCCAGCGCCCCACTAAGCTATGGTGCCGAGCCTAGAAACAATTTGTTTGTTTGTTTGTTTTTTGCAGTTTTTGGCCAGGACTGGGTTTGAACCCGCCACCTCCGGCATATGGGACTGGCGCCCTGCCGTTTTGAGCCACAGGCACCACCCAGAGCCTAGAAACATTTTTAATAGAATCCACAGGAATGAGCGCCCCACCGGAGGGTAGAAGGAAAAGATAGCACCACAGACAGCTTTCTCACTCCGGCTTGTGGGGCCCTAATCCAAGAGAGGGGACTGATAAGAAAGCAAGAGGCAGAAAAATCAAGTGCTTTGCCTCAGGTCGTGTAAGTTACTTGATGGCAGACATAAAGCAAGAACCTAAAATTCTTTCTGGCAGAAACCCCTTGGTTCACCCTGTTAACATCAGCCAGGACATTTAACCATCATTTGCCAGGCTTCCCTATTCCCTACTTTACGCATTTTCACTTTCTGTCCTCTGGAGATCATTCAGATCATCGGGGCAAAACTCCTTTTGACTTCCCATAGGGCCCGGCACAGTACAAGGCAATAAAGTGGTCAGTAAGTGTAGGTTGTTAAATCAAACTCCAGGAGTCCCAGAACCAGTCACCAGGTATAGCCTCCCTTATGACATGAGACACTTTCCTTCTTTAATCCCTAATAAGCAGTATTTTTTAATATAATTCCTAGATCAAGTAATTCCTAGATGTCTGTCACAGTCCAAGATACTTCTAACAACAACAAAAACACCACTTCTTTAAAAGAAAGGACATTGAATGCATATCTTCAAAATCAGAATGATATCGTTTTAAGATCAAGGATAGTCCTTCAGATTAAATCAGAGTTCCTCGACCTCAGCCTTGCTGGCTCTTTGGACTGGATGATGCTGGCGGTGGGTGGATGGGGAACCATTCTGTGCACTGTGGGAGAGTTAGCAGTTAGCAGTTAGCAGTGCTCCTGGCCACTACCCACAAACTCCCCAGTGTAACAACCAAAAACATTGTCTCCAGGCATTTCCAAATGTCCCCTGGAGGCAAAACTGCCCCAGCTGAGAACTATTGAATAAAAGAAAGTTATATTAGAAATCTAGTTATGTCCTTATATTTCAGCATGTGAAAACTATGGCAGACTGATCAGTCCATAAACCAGCTTTTGAGAACAAGAGGCAGAGTTTAAGAACGTGAGGTTTGAAATGGGATTTGAATTCAAATCCCATTTCTGCCTCTACTAGTGGCCTGAGTTTGAGCAAGGGACTGCTCTAAGCCTCCCTTTCCTCTCCCGCAGAACAGGGACAACACTGCCTCATCAAAGTTGTTAGGAGGACTAAATGGAATAGACGGGATGCACTGAGCACATGGTTGTCAAGAGAGGAAGCATGACAAACATTAACATTATTCCTGCCACTTCCATAGCACATAGCACAATGTCTGGCACAAATTAACAATGGCTACCCAAATTTAAGACTTTCTGGGTAAAAGACCTTGCTCATAATAAGTAGGTCTTCAGTAAACACTTATGGAATGAATAAATGACCCCCCTGTCGCCCTGCTCTCACCAGTTCCTTTCCTGAACCCCCAAGTCCTGTTCTTTACTAGAATTCTCTCTAATCCTACTCACGGGAATTAAACCCACACAGTCGGTCTGGCCCAGCTAGGACCTCCGCCCTGTGCTGTGTGGGTGGGAGCACTGTGGAAGCCTGAAGTAAGCAGTGTCAATCCTCCTCACCCATGAGGGTGCAGCCTTTGTTCAGGTCCAGCCATGAAAGTCCCCCATGTCATCTCAATCTTCAGGCTGCTGCTGTCCTTCTCAGATATATAACCTGGAGGTAGGTCAAGGGCAGTAAAAGGAGGTAGTGAGATCCTTGAACAAAAGGATATAAAAGGCCACCATAGTGGCTCACACCTGGAATCCAGCACTCTGGGAAGCCAAGGTAGATCGTTGACTGAGCTCACAAGTTCGAGACCAGCCTGAGCAAAAGCGAGACACCGTCTCTACTAAAAATAGAAAAACAAAAACAAAAAACTGAGGCAAGAGGATCATTTGAGCCCAAGAGTTGAAGGTGCTGTGAGCTATGATGCCATGAGACTCTATCCAGGACGACAGCTTGAGATTCTGTCTCAAAAAAAAAAAAAAAAAAAAAAGTAGCTATACATACAAAAGTAGCTATAAAAGGGTGTGGGGGAAGCAAGGCAAACAGCAAATTAAACCAACAGGTACCTCAAGGAAGTGTGGCAGCGGAGGGCATTCAGAACCTCTGGGGCTGCCTACTCAGCAGCAAGCAGGTTAGAGTTCCCACTGCTTCCTCTGTCCCCCACCAAGCCCACCTCCCTGCCTCTGCAGGCAAAGGACTGGTAGCGCTCTCTCTCTCATGGGGAAAAACACTCCTTGTTATAAACCAGACACTGTCCTGGACGAAGCCCAGCCAGCAATAAATTTCTGGGGTTCAAAAGTACATTAAGTATCTTCACAGTTTCCCAAAGGGCTGAGTTTTTCTGGCCATCACAAGGCCATAGAAAGTTAAGTTCAGAGAGAGGCCTTAAAAAGCAGGTGATCTAAGCCCACATGCTATGGAAAGGGAAACTGAGGCTGGGACAGGGGAAGGAACTTGCTCGGAATCATCCAAGTCTGCTCCAGGGGCAGCAGCGAGCCAAGAGCTCAAGGCTTTAGTCTTGGTGCTGAGGTTCACGAGGAGCTTGAAAACACACCAAGAAGAGAAAGGTGTACTATAATCTAAATCTCTCTCTCCCTAAAAATATAGACGTGCAGTCATACATGCACACGTGTGTATGAACAGTGGGACAGATGGGAAAAGAAATGGGGCAAAATGCTAGTAAATGGTGACTCTGAGCCAGGGGATAGAGGGGGGTTCGCTGTACCCTTTTCACAATTTTTCAGAAGGATTAAAATTTTCTAAGTAAACATTTGAGGGAGAAGGAGAAAGCACTAAATAAAAATCTAAAGTAAGTGAAATAGTTTTTTATTTTCTTAATATATTCTTTTTCTCCCCCTCCCTTTTTTTTGAGACAAGAGTCATACTCTGTTGCCCCGGGTGGAGTGTGATGGCATCATAGCCCACAGCAACCTCAAACTCTTGGGCTCAAGAGATCCTCCTGCTCCAGCTTCCCAAGTAGCTGGGGACTACAGGTACCCACCACAAAACCCAGCTAGTTTTTCTTTCTTAGTAGAGACGGGGTCTTGCTCTTGCTCAGGCTGGTCTCAAACTCCTGAGCTCAGGTGATCCACCCACCTGAGCTTCCCGTAGTGCTAGGATTAATGGTGTGAACCACTGCACCCAGCCTCTTAATATAGTCTTTCTTTTGGGGTGGGGGGGTTGAGTTAAATTGTTGAAAAAATTTGGGAAATTCCATGAATCACTCCTTCAGTTGCATTCTGTTTCTGTTTCTCTAGCTAGGGACTAATATCCTCAGAAAAAGTTATAAGACATCCGGAGGTTAAAGGTGTAGGACTCCAAACAAGTGTGGGATGCTGGTGTTCAGAGTAGTCAGTAGCTATGGCAACCCTGGAAACCAAATCTGACTTCAAATATTTTGTTCCATCAGCTTCCAAAATACACATATGCTTGTCACACCCTGTATCCTGCTGTTTGGGGTTCAGAAAGTAAATAAAGTAACCGTGGCCTATGGATGGTGCACATGTCAGATTATTTCCAAAGGAGTCCATCGCCTTTACAATACTGATGGCTCATAAATGCAATATCATGCAATTTAATTTCTATTCAGTATGGAAATAATTCTTTCACATGAATGAATGATTGAATTCATAGTCACTATGTTCTCTATCCATAGTAGTATTTAGTTTGGGCCATTTTCGGTCCATAATCCAGCCCTGAAAATCTGTGCGTGGCCACACAAACAAAGCTCAGAGCAATAGCATGGCATTTGAGGCATGGCGAGGCAGTGAATAGGGGAATAAAAATTGGAGACGACACACCTCTTGGAGGCAGGACACAATTATAAGAGGGATTTTACCTAACAAATGCAACCAGCGTAACCTGGTTCTTTGTACCCTCAATGAATCCCCAACAATAAAAAAAAAAAAAAATAGTTCCTTAACTTCTTATGCTATGTAATAAAATTTTATGGATACCAGAAAAAAAATAAGAAGTTGGAGAAATAGGTAGAGAGCAAACCCAGGAAGGCCCAACAAATGATTTGGAAGCTTATTCTTCAGGGAACACAGAGTCACTGAAAACTTTGAGAAAGTTCTAGCAGAGCCTAGATGGCTGTTTTGGGGGTTGGGAGGTTGTTGTTTTGAAACATAGTCTCATTCTATTGCCCAGGCTAGAGTGCTCTGGTATCATAGCTCACAGCAACCTCAAACTCAAGCTAAAGCGACCCTCCTGCCTCAGTCTCCCAAGTAGCTGAGACTACAGGCACCCCCACAATGCCTGGCTACCTTTTCTATTTTTAGTAGAGACAAAATCTCACTGTTGCTCAGGCTGGTCTCGAACTCCTCAGCTCAGGTAATCCCCCTACTTCAGCCTCTCAGAGTGCTAGGGTTACAGGAGTGAGCCGCCACGTCCACTGAAAGAATAGATGGATAGAAGCAACTCAGAACAAGGGCATCTAGGTGGAATGACAAAGACCTTGGTCTAAGGCAGCCAGAGTGAGAAAAGAACTGAGGACAAATTAGAAGGAGCTAGGAAGAGGGCAGATGTATCTGGGAGAGAGGAGGAGGAATCCAAGTTGACTTCTAGCATGGATGCCAAGTTAGATGACAACAGTGCTCATCCAGGCGGGAAATCAGGAAAGGTGAAGGGTTAGCAAAGGAATGTGGTAAGTTTTAGACATGGTGAGTTGCCAGTGGATATGGAGCTGCAGAGAGAAGTCTCAGATAGATACATGGATTTGAAAGTAATCAACAACCTCGAGGTGATAGATGCCATGGGTGTGGATGAGGTCAGCTGGAGGGGAATTCAGGGCAAAACAGGAAAAAAATTTAAAGGTAGCCAAGGAAAAGGAAACCTTCCCAAAACATTAAAGCGAGACCTAAGAGCAAAGACCTTCTTTTTTTTTTTTTTGAGACAGAGTCTCACTATGTCACCCTTGGTAGAGTACTGTGGCATCACAGCTCACAGCAACCTCCAACTCTTGGGCTTAAGCGATTCTCTTGCCTCAGCCTCCCAAGTAGCTGGGACTAGAGGTGTTTGCCAGAACACCCAGCTGGGTTTTTTTGCTGTTGTTGCAATTGTCATTGCAATTGTTCAAACCCAGGTTTGAACCCCCCAGCCCTGGTGTCTGTGGCCAGTGCTGAGTCAACCTATGCCTCCTTTTAAGTGACTCCCTAAAACTCCTCCATCTCCACAGAAGGGTCACACCTTGCTAGAGTGGGGGAAGGAACAATCTTCTGTTAAAATAAACTCACTTTTCAACAATAACAACAGAAAAAAACAAATAACCCAATTTAAAAATGAGCAAAGGATCTGAAGAGACATTTCTCCAAATAAGATATACATGAAAAGATAGGCAGCATCTTTTAGTCCTTAGGGAAATGCCAGTCAAAACCACAGCAATACACCACTTCATACCCGCTAGGATACCTATGATCAAAGAGACATTTCACTATTTCACTAATTCCTTAAAAAAAAAAAAAAATAAAGAAGAGGATCACAAGTGTCAGCAAGGGTGCAGAGAAACTAGACCCTCATGCATTACTGGTGGGCATGTAAAATGCTGCAGCCGCTGTGGAAAACAGTTCGGCAATACCTCAAGACGTGAAATATAGAGCTCTCTGGCACTGCAACTCCCCTCCTAGGTATTACCCAAGAGAACTGAAAACATATGCCCATGTAAGGACCCATACACGAATGTTCACAATAGCATTCTTCATAATAACTAAAAAGTAAAGATAACCCAAATGTCCATCAACAGATGACCAGATAAATAAAATGTGGCATAGCCACACAATGGGCTATGATTCAGCCATATAAAGGAATGAAGTGCTGATATCCACTACGTGGCTGAAACTGGAAACATCATGCTAAGTGAAGGAAACTGGACACGAAGGTCACACATCTTGTATGATTTCGTTTATATAAAATATCACAATAAGGGAATCTATAGAGAGAGAAAGTAGATTAGTAGTTACCGGGGCCAAGGGGATAGAAAAGGAGTGTCTGCTTAATGAGTAATTTTCGAGTGATAAAAATATTTTGGAATTAGAAGTTGGTGATGATCACACGACATGGTGAAGATACCAAAAACCACTGAATTATGCACCTTAAAACAGTTGGAATGGTGAATTTTATTATGTAAATTTTGTATCAATAAAAAAATTAAGTGACCTATAAACTCACTCAACAAAGTTACACATAGCCACAAGAAGCTGGGTGAGCATTTTCTCCAGCTGGCAGCAGGATCCCCAGATATTCTGACTAAAGCCAAGGATCATGCCTCCTGCGAGACCCTGAGATGTCTTCACACATCCACAGCTGGGGACCAGAGGCTCTGCTGAAGAGCAGAAGATAGATCATCCAGCCTCATGGTCACTACCCGCCACTTGATCAGGCTGCCTCATCCACTTCCAAGAGCTCAAAATGCCAGGTGATGGAAAAATAGCTATGATGTGACCAACAGAGAGACAGCAACCCGGTCTGACCTGGGCAGAGTCACCCCACACTGATGGGAAAGGACGAATGAGTTCTGGGCCCAGGGCCCCCAGAAGCCCTGGAATAACCAACCTCATGCTTCAAACTCATTCAACTCTTCTGCACCTAAAACCCATCGCAGTGTTCAGGATACAGCTGCCTGAGACAACTGAGCCGTCCTGAGCTGTCCTAAGCTCAAGCATTCACCAGGC